AATAACAGACCAGGGAACAGAGTTTATGTCATCAGTATTTACTGAAATTTGCAATTTATTGCATATAAAAAAACTGCATTCAACAGCTTATCATCATGAGACTCTTGGAGGTTTGGAAAACACTCATAAGGTTCTAGGTGCTTATCTTAGGATTCAGTGTGATAATAATAAAACAGATTGGAGCAGTTGGCTTCCATTCTGGTGCTTTTCATTTAATACTACAGTTCACTCTGAGACAAAATACACGCCATTTGAATTAGTATTTGGTAAACATTGTAATCTACCATCTAACATAGAACAAAATTCATATGTTGATCCCTTATATAATCCTGATTCTTACCCTTTAGAACTAAAGTACAGACTTCAAAGAGCACAAGCTGAAGCAAGAAACAATTTGTTATTTAATAAAAAATTAAGAAAAATAAATTTTGACAAAACTATTAATTCAATAAAATATAAGAAAGGAGATTTAGTATTAATTAAAAATCAAGTAGGAGATAAGTTAGATAAGATTTATTTAGGACCATACGAAGTCATAGAAGATGTCTCACCAAATGTTAAAATCTTAAAGGATAATAAAGCATACATAATTCATAAAAATAATACAAAGAAGTTTGTAACTTAAAATATTGTTTTATTGGATTTTTGTTAGTAAAGTATGAAATTTAATAATATTTTGTGTAATTTAGTTTAAGTAATAAATATAAAAAAAGGAATTATATAATAATATCATTTTTTTTAAAAAGGGGGAGGTGTAGTGTGCAGCTCGCCTAACCTTATATTTGTAACTGCACACGCTAAATTATACAGTATTACACGAATTGTCGACTTGAACAGTTCTCTTTTATTTCACCTGCAACACTCCAATACAAAGACGTCATTATCAATTTCCAGATATGCACGACGAAGCGTTCGTGACTGCGGGTGGTCTGTACCACACTCTGACGCAGATGGGTCTGTCGTTCGAGACCCCGGAGGCGCTGTACGAGAACGGCAACCACCGCTCCATCGCGTACATGCGCCCGCTGGCGGTCTGGGCGCTGCACCAGGCGCTGCTGGCGCGACCACCCCCCCGCCTCCCCGCTGCCGCCGCCCCGCCGCCGCCGCATCAACGCGCACACAACAACACGCAATTATAACATCATCTCAAAACCAGTGCCCGTTTGACCAGAAAACGGCTATCAGCTAAGTTAAGAATACCCGTAGACTCGTTTTTTAGTCGTGGAATCGTTCCTATAGAATTTGACTGTACTTCTTGGTTCAGAGCCTTGACCTCACGGCTGTCTCTCTCTAAATTTGTGTGGTTCAAAATGAATCGACCGTTATGATAATTAAAGTGTGGTGGTAAACCCTTACAACCTTCGAGGACAATAAAAAGAACGATTTGTAACGAATTATTTATTTTCAAGACATTAGTACACTTTGCTTTTGTCTCGCAGTTGCAAGAACGATCCTCAAGAGCTTATTTTTGTTTTGGGAAATTTGATCACCTTATTAAGTTCTCAACACGTGTTGTTAAATGTAAAAAATTGTTATTACAATGTTTTAGCAACAGACAAACAGCAGACTCAGTTCATGAACTCAGTTGCAGAATAATTAAAAGTGCTCCGATAAAATAAACATATGGAAAATATAATAGTAAATACAACTCACTGATTCTTATTGTGCTGGATCGATCTATGAACTGGACTGCCTTGTAACTTATTTAAATAATAGTAAAAATTCGAAGATGACACCTTGTAGTTATATAATTAGATACCGTAGATTGGGGGAACCGGGACCCTTTCCAATTCCAACACAAATTTTCAATAGTTTTTCTTAGGTAATACCAATAAAATTGAGATTAAAATGGTTTCAGAGGCTTAAATTTTTATATAAGATGCATTATTATACATAGTTCATTCATATACACAAAAACTAAAAAAAATAGCTTGACCCGATTCACCTTGGCTTTGGGGTGAATCAAGTTATGTATGGGGACAATAGAGTTTTTAGATAGGGCTGGCACTATTTAGTTGTTAGGTAGGTATCTAACTTTAGGTAATTAACTTTTTAATATCTTTAATGAATTACAAAGTTTTGATGACTAAATTAAACAACATAATAATATTATTAAACACTAAATAAAAGTCATTTTCAGTGCAACAAAGTTAAATTTCTAACAACCCAACAAAAGTATTGTGACATCCCAGATTTGTCCCTATTCGAACTCTAGTCTCTATTCCTCCCAATCTATTGTATGTATGTATGTTTGTATGTTTCCAATAATAATGCAACTTTTATAACATTTTATAATATTGTGATAAATTGAAAATCATGCAATAACTTAAGAAAGTTGATTATTTCAAAACACTTCTCCAACGCCAGTCACTCGTACAATTGTACAGTTATAGGCGTAAAGTGCAAAGTCGTCTTGTGTTTAATGATATTCAATTATCGAATCGGTTATTCGAATCTTATTTCTATCTTCCAATCGTTCCGTTCGTATATTTCGTTCTTTTTTTTCCCTACCTATTCGTTGGTAGCCTAAGGGGCTATTACAGTTATGCCCGAAAGGGTAGGTGAGCTCGCGAGCTCAGCCTTAATAGAATTAGCTTCTGGTTTAAATATGTAATAACGGTGGTTTATTAACTTCAACGAAACTTCTCGGCATCCTACAAAATAGGTCCACTGAAAAAGTCGCAGTAAATGACCACCATTTTACTGAGATTAAATTTCATCCCATATCATCTCATCTTATTTCATGTCATTTCACGCCATAATATCGTTTTTCATAAAAATAAGAATATAAATTAAAATAAGACTCGACCTAAAGGTCTTAGTTACCAGGTCATAAAATCCCATTTAAAAAAATTAGCCTTGAGAGGCTATATCAGCGTTACCCTAGCGTGTAAGTGAGCTCTCGGGGCTCAAACCGGAGGTGTTGCTAACACTAGCCCTACCAAGAGCAGTGCTTGGCAGAATGTACCACCGGATTGGAATCGCAACCCACTGAGAAGATTCGGCGAGAAAATCAGTGAGCTGTGCCTATGGGCAAGTTAACGTACTTTCAAAACGATTCCTAAGACAACTGTTACGGGAACTAATTAAAAAAAAAACAGTTCGTTTTTTTTGTCAGGTAAATCCTGACCCTATTCACTACTTAGTCTATTTCTTCGACTGATAATAATAATTTACAATATTATCCCTGGTTTGTGAATTTATACTTTTGGTTTTGTTTTAGACTGTGTAGGGGTTTTGTGATGTAAAACGTATTAATCGACACAGACTATAACAATATTGATTTCATTTTTTGAAATCAAGCAAATCGAATGTCCGTATTACAAATTACATCCCTAGCAAAGTAAATTTTTTTTTTAAATAAAATAAAAGTGACATGTATTTATAAGAATACAGAAGTATTTTCGATCTTACCGGGTAACACGAAACAACGGAATTTCGACTCGAGTCGAGTTCGAGAGAGTATTAATGTTTTTACTTTGTATGTATTGTTTAAATTAAAATAGAATAAAGAATTGGTGCATTCTTTGGTGGTACTTTATATAATGCAGTCGCCATGTCTGTCTTTTAAGACAGTTTAAAATATTCTTTAGACATTTAGACGGACGTACGAATCGTAATGAAGTCCCTAACAAAACTGTAAACAGTATTTTAAATATTAAATAAAACAGGTACTGATTTTAAATTTTTTAGTAGTTACCAACTTGTTTTATGTTGTATTTTAATTTTATGAAAATTGTTGTAATTTAATCTATTTGTTTACCGATGTATTGATTTCAAATCAATTTATACAAGTTTTTATGAAGTCACGTCTGTGTCTGCTTTAAACGTGTTCATTTCTTAAATTGCTTAATAAATTTAATTTATTAAAATGTTACGTCAAACCAAGTACCATAACTAAGTAGAAAGAAAAAAAATCGAACAAAATTATGAGATTATTATTTCAATACATTGTAACTTAAATGTTCTTTTGTGAGATATTGATAATTTTTTTGTGGGTTACACCTATTGTTTGTTTTTTCTATTTAAATCATGACACAGTCGTGACTTATACAAATCATTTGTGTTATTTAAAATCGGATAGTTGCCAAATAAATTGTTTTTTTTGTACAGCAGCTAGTTTTATTTATTAAATCATTTCAGTCCCTATCAATTTATTAAAATATTTTTTATTGCCCTTGTAGGCAGACGAGCGTACTGCCCAACCAATGGTGAATGGTTACTGTCGTTCATGGACGTCAGCAATACCAGGAGCAGAGCCAAACCGCTGCATACGCATGAGTACTCTCCTCAAGCCTCGTTTGAAGAAGGACATGTCATAGTTCTCAGCAAACACCGGAGTTCATTTCAAAGCCGAATAGTACGTGGCAGAAAAGCTATCTCGAAATGCACTAAGGTTGAACGCGGTGGTTTTAGGTAATATGGATGGAACTCTCGGTGGCGCGCGGTGCGATGTTAAAATCGAGAGGTTTGGATCATCTTAAATAATTCCTCAAAGCACTCCCCAAGCTGTCTCAGCACTGGTTATAAGAGGTATTGTGTCCTGCACGGCTTTGTATTGCCGTGCCATAAAACAGACTTGCGTTCCGCATTCATCAGTGGCCTTCATGTCATACAAGTGACTGACCTCTTGTCTGAACATTAGTGACGGCATTCACCTTGTTATGTGTAACGTGTCCAGTAAATTCTTATTCGTCATTTGGAACATGACTTTTTTTGCAAATATATTCGAATTAATAAAAATATCACTAAATTGCGAAATAAATAAAGTAAAATAACATCACAAAAAATGCGCATAGTAATGTCACGCATGCTTCAACCAAGAACCGATTATGCAAGATTGGTTTGCTTAGTCACTGTTTAAATTTTTTAAAATCTTATTTTACTATATCAGTACGCATTGTAAAGTGCATATTATGTTCATGATTGTACTCTGAATATTTTTTAAATGTATCACCTATTTCACATAAGTATATCATCTATGTATTTTAGATACTATCTTACGATAGCAGGTTAATGAAAACACTTCAGTGACAAGTTTGTAACCACGTCAGCAATGTCTCTATTAAGAAGTTTATCACTAAGGTATTACATAGCCGATTGCACGTGTCTACATGTTAATCTGAACAGTAATTAGATATCTAATCGTAATACAAATTGGTTTTTGATAGCTACAAATTAACGTAAAAAAATCTGACCTATCAATGATTGTTGTGGATTTGACTTACGTGGATTGTTTTACTGTGTTTATTTTTACACCATAATAGTAACAAAATTATGACTCTTCAGATCGATAGAAAGAACAGTTTAGATCAACCACCTAAATTCGGATTGAAATTGCGGTTGGATCATGAATTTCCGTTGCAGAGCAAACAAGGCCATGGGATACGTCCTTCGCAACTCTTTGATGTGATGCCTTTGACAGCGAGGTAACATACTATTTGCTAATTTATTCATCATTGCCTAAACTGTCAGCTTTTTCTTTAGAATTGATTCATGTTATAGGCCAAATGTTTTACTTACATTTTTTCGGGTTATACAGCCAAGACTAGAAGAAGATTAATTTATCTGACAATAGTAGGTTGAACTATTAAACCGAAGAAGTACTAAAAGTATCAATTTAGCCCCTGTTCCCTAAGATACCCTGTTCATATAGGTACAAATAACTTTACTATTGTATTGTTATTGTTTTAGCAAGATACGCATTACAAAGTTATTATTTGCCATGAATTCACGAACTTCCTTTAAATGTATATTGTTTTCACCAAAGATATATGACTGGAATATAATAATTTGAAAAGCTTATGATGTGCTTTTTTTTCCTACCTAACCTTGAGGAGCTATATCAGCGTTACCCTAGCGTGTAGGTGAGATCTCGGGGCTCAAACCGGAGGTGGGATGTGCTAATGCCATCTTCTATGTTCTTCATCGAGCTTACATACTGCCACTTTTTCCGTTTGATCCTTCGATAATATATGTCACCGTTCATTCTATTTTACTATCATCTGTACATCGTAGCCATTAATACCCTTAGCTTATTATCGTATCTAACTACCTCCACCCTCCGACAATTCCTATCTAGAGTATTCGTGTTAGTTGCATGCGTAATCATAAATATAGGCACGTGAGTTCGAGGTACGTGGTTACTTCGCCAGATAGGCGAAGTAACCACGTACCTCGAAATGGTCGTTATTTCAATAAAATTATATGCATAATATCTATAGATACATTTTTCTTGTTTTGTCCATTAACTCCAGTAATCGTTAACATTAGGTCTACTACTTACATCCGTAGACCGAATGTAAGTATCCGCCATACACCACCATCTTGAGACGGCGCAGCCTGCCCTACTATTTCTGACGGAGACGCAGATATCTGCTCCGGATGATACCTCGTACCTTAAATACGCCTGCTACGTATTAGAGCACAACTTCCTGCGTCTTTACGCAGGAAGTTGGTTGGTATGAACCGGGGTGTGTGTATTCGTCCGGGCTGATTTCTGTTGTCGCCGTCTATGAGGCCTCGAACAACGAGACCTATCCCTCTTGTGGCTGCGCGTAGATCACGGGGGTTGTACCCGAATCTACGCGTGCCTGTACAGGTCCCACAGCAGTGATGCAGGTTCAGCTCTGATTGAGCATGTGCAAGAGGGGACTAACCGCGTGCTTGAGCAGTACCCATCTCGTTCGTCAGAAAATAAGTGAAGTCTAGTGGCTCTGGGATCTTGGACTAGTAGTTATGTTCTGTAATAATAATAAAAGTTCGTTTTGTATAGCTTCCTCAAAAATTACGTTGTAAGATAAACCTGTCTGCCAGCTAGCTAGCTTCGCTTTGATTACGGGTTCATAAAAGCTATAAGCTTAGTATTAATATTTTCAATCGCCTCCTTGGTCCTGTCCACAAGCTACGCGACTCTGACCACAAGTTACGGGAAAGAATTTCAGCCTGGTTGAAGAATAAATTTTTTCTCCTACCTACGCCGAAAGTTCGGTTTTCCTCCCGCTGTACAGGGAAGAAAGTCAAACTTTTCCTCCTGTTGTACAGGGAAGAAACTTTTCCTCCCTGGGTACAAGTGCGCATGCGCGTTAGTGTCTACATCTGCTCTCACGCACCTAAAATTCTCCGCCATTGTTGTGCTCGGGTAATTTGCAATATTGTGTTTACTGTAAAAATAAAATAAACAAAATGCAATAAAATTTAATAGTGAAGTATTAAATTAAAGTGTTTTTTTGAGTATGGAGGGGCTTGCCCCGCCTACCCCCTGCCAGGGCTTCGCCCCTGGACCCCGGCTCGGTATTCTACGAACTGTCGGCCTGGTAGGAGAAAAAATAATATGTGCACCGCGGGAAAAAAGTAGGACATCTTATCCCGCGTGTTTTTTTTATTATTATTTTTTACACGCGGGAGGAAATGTTCTACTTTTCTCCCTTGGTGCACAATGTACCTACTATGGTTTTCGACGTATGTAGGTACTAGTATAGTATGAGTATTTTACGGCACACATAGGTATACAGGAATGTAGAGAAGGATATCCTGGAGCCGCAACAAAAGGCACAACCAGACGATAATGTCGATTTTCGGAATCAAAACAATTTTTCCTATTAATGAATTTTCTAACACTTTTTCACAGAATTAATTATTTTATAGTATGTATATTTTTTTTATCAATTACAGATATTTCAAATACTGTGTTGGTATGAAGCTAAATAACAGACGTCCAATTATGGATTTTTTGCATAGAGTTTCAGCGCAGAGAATGTACGGTAAGATTATTAATATTAATTTTTTTTAATCTATTGCTCTTTGTTTTGTAACCATAATTATCAAATTAAAAGATATTTAAACGATTTTAGAAATGTATATAATGTTGTGGATCGAATGAAATACTACAAGAACATAAGTTGTCCTCAAATTATTTCGTTTGTGTTGTGGTAGAAGATCATGTGAAAATTTTCTTCCAATAACCTGTATTAATGGGTTTCAACTATGGATGAATGCTGTATATCGACATCTCATAATAAACATTAAAAATATTTAATTAGACATCGTATTATTTATCTATATTATTATATTGATATGTTATGTTATTAGTAGCTCTGATTACGTAAATGAGATTTTGCTTCCTAGTTACTTTAATAAAAAAAAATAACATTGTATTCGAATTTGTTTGAGACTCATAAACTCAACTGATCCTTGAATTCTTTGTAATGGTATATATATATACCTATAAAGGTATAGACTATTTCATGATGTTAGAGATCAATCATGGACCAGTCACAAATATTTGTAAGTATATAGTTATGTACGAAATAACCGATTTTTTGTGGATAGGGAATAACGGAATAGGGTGACGTCATTAAGAATAGGGCGTTCTATTTTTATCGTGAAATTATATCTTCCTTTGTTGACTATTTGTCTTAATAGTTAGATTTTTATGAGATAGTAAAATCAGATACTACGCGGTTTGTGACTTTCCCCTGACAACGTGTGCGTAGCAATACAGTCGTTAATTATTTTTTTCGTACTTAAGCTGATGGTCTAGAGAGACCATAATCAGCGTAACCTTAACTAGTAGGTGAGCTCACGGGGTTCAAACCAGACGATTTTGCTATCACGAACCCAAGCATGAGCCGTACTTCGCAGAATCTACCACCGGATCGGAAACGCGACTCACTGAGAAGATCCAGCGAGAAACTCAGTGAGCTGTGTCTGTGGGTTAATTTACTCGCCGAGCCCTTCATCGCATGTGACGGCTTCGACGAGAACAACGACCGGTGGTTGGGTTACCTAAAAGCACCGTTAGTGGATCGGGAGGATCCGAAATGACGTGTTTAGGGCGACGTCGACTGTTTACCATTTGGTCCGCAGCATCGGCTATGTAGTTTTCGGCGGCCACGATGAGAGGATTCTCATGTCGTGCCGCTTTATCGAAGTGGTCACTTTATTGTTTATAGGCTCTAGTAACTGTCATAACGTGGGTAATAAGCTAATCGTACCAATCCAAAATTGTTAGCTTAAGAAATAATAAATAATGTCAATATATCTGTAATTTTAAAACAATCTGGCAACTGGTGTTTTAGGATGTCCTATTGGGGGTATAGGCGGAGGTACTATTGGAAGAGGTTTTAAGGGCGAGTTCTGCCGTTTTCAGTTACAGCCTGGTCTATACGAGTATGTTACAGTACCGGAATGTCAGTTTATTGTGAACATTAAAAATGATAAACACGAAACTATATACCAAACGGTTCTGTCTACTTACAGGTTCGTATTGTTTTTTAAAAACGTCATTACACTGTTTTAGTGGAAATTATAATTAGTTTATATTCAGCCTATTGCCACGGCAACTAGCAGAGCACCGATACGGCCCCAACTTCCGCTTTCTTTATTACCAGGAGTGAGACTAGTGGAAAGACTTTTTAAATTATCTTGACTTTACCACAGCAATGTGCCGGATAATTTAACTACAGCAGTAGCGATGGCAAGGGCTAACCGTAAACAAGACATTCGTAGCCTAGCTTCCATTTCCAGATTACGAACAATACAATGCAACTACACCTCTTTTGTTTTTTTAACTGTACCGCGCCACTTCGTCGTATAGCCGTTTCTAATAAAGTGATGATTAATCAAACGATAACATCAAAATAATCGCGACCGAAATTTCTAGAAATGCCCGCAATGCAACACAAAAAGCGTGGGTCCCATGGTCTCGCGCTTACATAACATTGTAGTATAACTTTATTATTTACATTTTATATTAGATTCCATTTAGTATGCAACATATACAAAAATCAATAACTTTCCTCCAATTTAAGGGTAAGAATATGCACTTATTGTAAAATGTAGTTTGCGTTACTAAATCATTTCTTTTTCAGTAAGCCCAAGAATGCCCCTGTATCGTGGGAATGGAACCTAAATGGCGCCGATTGTGAATACACGGCTCTATATCCGAGAGCTTGGACAACATACGATTTATCAAAATACGGAATTAAACTCGTTTGTCGACAAATATCTCCGGTCATACCTCATAATTACGAAGTATGTAACCAAACACCATCTATGTCAATCTTAAAGTAGTCCGACAGTTTTAAAGTATTTATTTTTGAACAGTTTTTCTATTCAGGGCGTGAATACCTGCGTCTTTTTGGAAAGCAGCAATTTTAAAACGTATTTGTTAAATTTAGTACAAACCGATCGCTTCTTTCTATTAATGCGTTGATGTATTTTATAATACAAGGCTCTAGTCTTATGCCTTTTTATAAAAGAGTGCTTTTAATGAGCTGCATTGTTCAAGTTAGAACATAATTATATACTAGATGATGAACATCATGTTGTGTCTTTAAATCAGTGAAAATAGTATTATTATTCGCCAATAGATGTCGGGAAGAGTGATAAAGTTGATTATCGATAAAGTTGATTATTGAAAACACGAATAAAACAACATTTTCTGAAAATAAATCGTAGCTAAATCGATTTATCGCCCCCGAAATCCCCTTTAAACTAAATTTTATGAAAATCGTTGGAGCCGTTTCCGAGATTCAGATTATATATACATATATTAATATACAAGAATTGCACACAGCCTACTGAGTTTCTCGTCGGATCTTCTTAGTGGGTCGCGTTTCCGATCCGGTGATAGATTCTGCGAAGCACAGCTCTTGCTAGGGTTCGTGTTAGCAACGTCGTCAGGTTTGAGCCCCGTGAGCTCAGCTACTAGTTAAGGTTACGCTGAAATAGCCTCTCAAGGCTAGCTTATGTAGCCTCTCAAGGCAAGCATAGGTAGGAAAAAAAGCCCTTGTAGGCAGATGAGCACACGGCCCACATGATGGTGTGTGGTTATCGTCGCCCATTATCTTCAGCAATGCCAGGGGCAGAGCCAAGCCGCTGCCTACTGCTAAGTACTTAGAACATATCTGGAACGAATTGCAGGATAGCAGTCTACCGTGTGCGGTGTTCGCGTTCAGCGCACTGAATGTAAGCAATGAACATAGAAACGTCAGTGTCACACTCACCTGGACTGAAGTACTGAACAAAAGTAAAAACGCAGGTTCGTTTCAGTTTCAAGATGTTCTAACCGCTGATATGTCCTATCAACTACCACTTGACATTTATTTTTATTGCTTAAATGGGTGGACGAGCTCACAGCCCACCTGGTGTTAAGTGGTTACTGGAGCCCATAGACAACCACAACGTAAATGCGCCACCCACCTTGAGATATAAGTTTTAAGGTCTCAAGTATAGTTACAACGGCTGCCCCACCCTTCAAACCGAAACGCATTACTGCCTTACGGCAGAAATAGGCAGTGCGGTGGTACCTACCCGCGCGGACTCACACGAGGTCCTACCACCAGTAAAAAGTGTTCCGCCGCCATCTATTTTATTAAAACTTGCCTGTCTCTGTTTGTCTAAGGTCTATTTTTATATATCTATTTTGCTTCTCTGTAAAATTATCTACCAACTTAAGCCAAAAAGTTATTCTTTGCACTGACAAAAAAAAACTATTGTTAAAGTTGTTACCAGCAACAATACGAGATTTATTTGACGACCGCTATAATTTCAGAGGTCGGGAGCTACACCCAAACTAAAAGCTGCGGTGTATACCTTAGACAAAAAATCAGAGAGAGTCCATGTACTTTTACAATAAGTAAAAGTAATATTGAAAGCCAGAGCCTCACTGAAGATTACACTTTCTGGAACTCTGCGAAAACATCACACTACGTTTGGGAATGTATTCAGAAACATGGAAAATTATCACCCGATCCTAGAACTGTTCCGACGCCAAGATGTAGTTCTGAGAAAGAAAATAAGCAAAAACAAAATAAAGTCATTTACTGTAAGTCTGTGTTTTATGAACTAATGAAATAAAATATCTCACTTTTTTATTGTAATTGTAAGTCAAGAAGCACAGCTTACTTGATGATGAGTGGTTTGCCTCTGAAGATTTTCTTCAATTTAGTTCGATTGCTCTGCTTCAGTGAGTAAAGAGCAAAGAGTTCGCTCTTCTATTAATCAATTGTTACATTAGCTACAGAAAATTTAAATTGGCCCTATGCAATTAGTAATTAGTCTTAAAAGGAAGTAAATTAAACAAAAACAAACCAACTAGGAAATAAGAACATCATTTTGTTTTTATTTTATTTCAATTCGATTAGAAACATGGAGAGCTATTGGAACGAAGTTCCTTATCGTGCGTTGTGAAAGGGGACTATACGGAAAAAATTAAGACCAAAAGTTGTAACGACACTTTTTGCTATAGTTGTAAACCGTGCGGCGTGCGCGTGTTTCTGTCTCTCTCTCTCTCTCTCTCTCTCTCATAGAAAGCAAGCCAGTTATTTTAATATTTTAATTAATTAACTATTATTAATTATTAGAGCATCGGTATCGCAGGATCCGACTGATGCATGACCACGACCACTCTGTCAAGAGTGTACGAATAGGAACAAGAATTATTAATTAATTAATTACATATATTTTATTATTATTTATAAAATAAAATTTTATTTTTTATTACTATTGCTTCACTAATTAATCGAAAGGAACTTCGTTCCATGCGGGTGTCCCTTGACACCTCTCAAGTTTTTATAATTTCACGATGAAGAGTTTTACGATCGTACCCTCAATGATGAAAGTTTTCAGGCGATTCAATAGCGCTTTCTAGTGTTTTATCTCTGGAACCGCAAAGTACGGGCTCAACCGAACTAAGTCTCGTTTGGGATATGCCCACGATAAAATACAGAAAGGACGAAAAGAAACATAAGAGGTAACAAACAACGTACAAATTTAATAGATCAATTAGTGATTCACGTAATATTTATTTAAATAGATTGCTTTTTCAACGGTATCATTTTCTTAAGTAAAATTATAGAAGCGACAGGATTTATATTAATTAATTTCTCAGTTTTACAAGACACTTGATCCGTATATACAAAAAAAATCTTATCTTCTTAATTTCCACCTAATCCCTGGTAGCGAAGATCCAGGAAGAAGCTCAGTGGGTTGTAAATCTTACACTAAACTGTTAAAGTTCAGAATCGTGTTTACAGTAAATTTCCATATACGGCGTTTTTCATTTCGTAAAACGTGCTAATGTTTAATGTAATAATGCATTTTGTACAGTCTTATTACCAAGACGCAGACTGCAGTAAACGGTTGAGTAGTAATAAAGAAATTCTCGGTTGCACAGGTTTTACACAAAATTTTACAGCAGCGATGGAAACGCTGGTTCGAACATAGCTACTTATGCTCTGAATAATTTTACGAATTGGGAGACGCAGTTGAATGTTTGGCAAGATTCGATTTTGAATAATGGGTAAGAACTTGAATAAAATTTGACAAATTAATGCAAAAAAAATCTCGAGCACGAAATCATAATTAATAGGCTGTTCGGAAAATAATTTCATTTTTACTCTACAGAGAACTTGAAAGCCAACTTCGTACTTAAGCCGCCTAATTTTATTATGTATCATTTTACATAAATATTAGGGGTTAAAGTATGAAATTGCCGATTTGTACTGAAAAATTGAAATTGTTTTTTTCTATTTACATATTTATTTAATCTACCATTATTATCTATACAATACTGTCATCTAATAGGAAGGTCATTTGTGCCTTTGCAATAGAACTCTGATGATCTAGATTCTACAGAAACATTTGGTACTGCGTCCTGGGAAGAAAACTTTTTATCACTTAGAAAATTGTCCAAATCACGAAAAAATGGTAGTACGTTAGAGCAAGGTCTGGCGAATACGGAGGGTGACGAATGACTTCTAATTGCAGTTAAACCCCTATTATAAAAAGCTTGAATGATTCTACAATCTAGTATTCAGTTGGTGTCACTTAAAATATGGAAAGTAGCATCATTTTCGGTACATTTTTCTTTTTTAGTGCCGAAAATATAAAAAATGCTATTTGAAAACTAAAACCGGTATGTATCCATAATTGATAAATATATGTATATAAAATTTCAGGAGTATACCTGATTGGTTGAAAAGTGCGTTATTCAACGAACTCTATTACGTAGCAGACGGAGGTACGATATGGCTGGACGTTCATGACGAGTATCCGGATACAGACCCTAGGTAGAATATAAATAAGCATGAAAATCAATTGTATTTCAGAAGAGTGTATTTGATTTTACAGTGTTCCATTATTTCAGGAAAGAGTTCGGTCTGTTCGGTTATTTAGAAGGCCACGAATATAGAATGTACAATTCATATGACGTCCATTTTTACGCATCTTTTGCTTTGGCACAGCTGTGGCCTAATTTACAGGTGAGGTTACAGAATGCTTAGTTGCGTGAACGATCTCATGATTCATCTTGACAACACAACATAAATGCCGTTACCCACCTTAGAACATGACGTCTTTAAACCAATTAATGACGCAAATATATTAGATTTTGCGGTTCTTATTATACAAATTTTCATTCCTTCTACTTGGAATTTCTTAAGAAAATTGGTACATGCTAACAAGTTTAAAATATCGGTACAGTTACGTCGCTTGAAATAAGTACCTGGCGGCGTAGACGACAATGATTTTCCAAACAGATAATTGGGATCTTTTTATCGTAAAGATCAAGTGTCTCAATATACTTTTAGTTTCTTCGATGTGTGCCATTTTATATTAAAAAATAAAACTTATCACAAACATTCAATTGTCGACAAATAGAATACGACACAACATGACTATCAATTTTTTTTTCAATTTTAAATGATTACTTTCTGAATGATATTATTTTGCATTGAAGACTGTTGTTTTTTTATGTACTTTAATTGAGGATTACTGCGAATCGGTTTTTTTCACGTCGAGATCAAAACGATCTCATAATCAATTAACAAACAAATAATAGATATCGAGGGGTCAAACCGCGTCGCATAAACCATGCGACGTTTGTGCAAATTTACAAGAGACCCATTTAAAGTTTAAAATTTGGGAAAAATATCATAACAAAAAACTTCTTCAGCTATTTGAATGGTGTAAACTTAATTGAAATTCAATTAAAGACATCGAATTGTTGATGGTAATACCAAATAAAACGAACCTATAATTACAAAGATAAATGTCGCGTATTAAGCGAAATGTCGCTTAAACAAAATAACCTTTTCACTCCTCAACATGAAAGCGATTTACTGTACCAGTCCTATACATATAACGTTTGCAAAATCTGAAGTAAATAAAATGCTTTGGGACTAAGAGTGTGTTTTAAGTGTAGGTCGATTATGAAACACCCTAATAACATTCGGGAGATATTAAATTTAAAATTTTGTTTTAAAGGTCGTGATACAGTATATGTTTCGTGACACTGTTGCAATGGAGACCGAGAAAAGCAGAAAATCGCTTTATGATGGAAAAATAGTGAAATATAAAACAAAAGATTCAATACCTCATGATTTAGGTGATCCAGGTAAAGTTAATGTTTAAATAATAGTTTAAATATTAACTTATGTGTGCTTAGTGCGACTTTTTTAACGCTCTCGATAGCGTCAAAGTTAACTCAACTTTGTATGGAGTTGGAACGTTTGCTTACGTTTGTCGCTAGGGACGCTGTTCCGAACTGCATACAAATTTGAGTTAACTTTTACGCTATCGAGAACGTTAAAAAGTTCGCACTAAACACACTGGACTGTCTCTAAAGAAACCTTTTGTTTTACCTTCCAGGCGATATGCCCTTTTTTCACATCAATGCTTACAATATTCACGACGTGAGTGATTGGAAAGATCTCAACTTTAAATTCATCCTTCAGGTGATACGCGACTACCATTTGATGACTTTCATGGACACGTAAGAGTTTCGTTATTATGAAGAATTATGTAATTGTACATTGTGCACCAAGGGAGAAAAGTTGGACATTTCCTCCCGCGTGTAAAATTGCGTGGCAAACACGCAGGATGAGATGTCCTACTTTGTTCCCGCGTTGCACATACTATTTTATTAACAATTTAACTGTTTTTTAATTTTAAAATAAACTACTACTAATTGAATAAGAACTGTCTGATGAACTCATCTTTGTTTAATACTTCACTATTAAATTTTATTGCCTTTTGTTTATTTTACTTTTACACTAAACACAATATTGCAAATTACCCGAGCACAACAATGACGGAGAATTTTAGGTGCGTGAGAGCAGACATAGACACTAACGCGCATGCCCACTTGTCAGTACCCAAGGAGTAAAACAAACTTTCTTCCCTGTACAGCGGGACGAAAACCGAATTTTCGGCGTCGGTAGGAGAAAAATTATTTTTACTCTAAAACTTATAAAAGATGATAGTAACTAATGTATATCATATCACAGTATCGGTATTGTAGCATAGATCACTTGAGAAGAAGACTATTCGATTGCATATATGCGTTACTCGCTTCACGTACAGGAGTGAAGAGAAAACCGGATCATCTGCCGCTGTGTGGCCGAGCAAACGTTATCTCGCCGACATGTACCCCGCCTGCGTCACTCTGCTGCGCCGCGCCGCCGCCTGGGACCGCGACGGCGACGGACTCATCGAGAACGACGGCACTCCCGACCAGACCTACGACATATGGGTGATGACGGGACCCAGGTGAGGGCCGCATCGAGTTGTACAGTATGACGTCACGCGAACCCTATTCATGCATTTAGTTTGACTGCAGCGCGTATTGCGGCGGACTTTGGGTGGCGTCTGTGAAGGCGGTGCACACGATGGCGAATATCCTCGGTCACGAGGACGACGAGCGAGAATTTGGTGAATGGCTGCAGAGAGCGCAGCGTGCCTACCAAGACAAGCTCTGGGCGGGTACACACTACCGCTTCGACACCAAGCCTTGTAACGAGAATGTAATCATGGCGGATCAGTTGGCGGGTCACTGGTACAACGTATTTCTATTAACATATCTCTTTTAATAATTTACACTTTTATTTTTAACCTAGAAAATATTCATTTCATTCAAGGTTCCTTCGTGCTTCAGGACTGAATGAGTCCGTATTTCCAGAAGAGAATGTACAAAAAGCACTGAAAACGATCTATGAGAATAATGTGTTGCATTTCAAGAATGGGACCATGGGAGCTGTCAACGGCTTTGTAAGAGAAGGCAAAGGTCATATTGAAACGCGAACTATGCACAGCGAAGAAATATGGGTCGGCACGACGTACGGTGTCTCTGCGCTAATGATTTTTGAAGGTGGGATTTTTAATTAGTAAACACCACCGCACGGGTAGGTGCCACCACCCTGCCTATTTCTGCCGTGAAGCAATAATGCGTTTCGGTTTGAAGGGTGGGGTAGCCGTTGTAACTATACTGTGACCTTAGAACTTATATCTCAAGGTGTGTGGCGCATTTACGTTGTAGATGTATATGGGCTCCAGTAACCACTTAACACCAGGTGGGCTGTGAGCTCGTCTACCCATCTAAGGAATAAATAAAAAAATCGGTTGTCTGTAAAGTCGGTTTACTGACGATAGTTGAACGTGACAACGTCATAAGAAAATACTGATGGAATGGTTTCATTTTTCAATTATCGCAATTATCGTTGCTATAAACAATTGACACACATTCACTTTTCACTGAACTTCATACTTGGCGAAAACATGTAAATGTATTATTGTATAGCAGCTGTCCACGCGGATGCATCGCTCACTCAAGTAGGAGAGAGACAAATGTCGAACGCTGCCGAACGCGGAGGCCGATAGTGCCTCTTTGTCGCTCGTTGCGCGCTCTCGCTTGCACTTCAAGCCTTAAATGGAACGCCTCAATGAGTCATGTTTTTTCGTGCGTGCAGCCGGCTCCATCGAATTATAAGACGTTGTCACGTCAAAAATAAATAATAAAAAAAACGCATCAAAAGATTGGGGCTTATTATCGAACCTCATGTCTATTTATAACTGGCATAGGTATGCATAAGGAGGCGTTCGCGACGGCGGGTGGTCTGTACCACACTCTGACGCAGATGGGTCTGTCGTTCGAGACCCCGGAGGCGCTGTACGAGAACGGCAACCACCGCTCCATCGCGTACATGCGCCCGCTGGCGGTCTGGGCGCTGCACCAGGCGCTGCTGGCGCGTCCCGTTCCGTAATCGCTGCCGAGGAAACCTATATTCATATTATTTCTTTCTTCGTTTGTGTGGATATTGACATTTCGAAAAAAAAACCACATTGTTTTATTGTTAATACTGAAGTTCATAAGCAATTAATAAAAAAAATATTAAAGAAATTTACTTGACAAACAGAGGAGATAATATATTACATTATTTTAGCGAAACTTTAACCGTTTCCGCATCGCACGCAGCGGAAGCTCTCAAAAAGGAAAAAAAACCCGATTTTGAAACATTCTTTATTGGTGCTCCGTTTGTATTGGTCTTAGCGTGATTTTATATAGCCTAAAGCCTTCCTCAATAAATGAGCTATCTATCTGAAAGAATTTTTCTAATCGGACCAGTAGTTCCTGAGATTAGCGCGTTCAAATAAACAAATAAACTTCAGCTTTATAATCTATCTATCTACCTTATATCTATATAATATATAAAAATGAATTGCTGTTCGTTAGTCTCGCTAAAACTCGAGGACCTCTTTGGCTAATTTTGGTCTTTAATTATTTCTGGAAGCCCAGAGAAGGTTTAAAAGGTAAATAAATATGAAAATGCTCGCAATTAAATAAAAATAATAATTTTTTTGAAGTTATACTTCTTCTTTAGGCGCGTTATGAAAAATTGATGAGAGTGAAATTTTACGATGCGCGCGCACCGTGACACAAAATTAACAGAATGAAGTTGCCCACTAAATCGCTCATTACAATACGACCGACGTAACTTGGCGAGTCTGAATATAGCCGCAGGTGAACTTTCCGAACCGTACCGAGAATTACCGAATTTATACAATGTCAAGAAAAGGGATGTCCAATATGCATGTTTGAGGATGTTGTTTAATCGATGTTTTTCAAATTGATTAAAATATAAATAAAAAAAAAAGAAATAAATTTAATAAAAATAAAGTATAACTTCTTACGCGCGTACACGCACCCTTTTTTTTCCTTTGATGTGTCCCCCGTCGGACGGATTCCTTTTGTTTTAAGTTTATTTTATAGAAAAGTTTAAGTCTTATATTTATCGATTGAGGCACTACGAAGTCTGCCGCGTCAGCTAGTATTAGTATAGATTTGGGTTCTTTGTAGTCTCTTGATTTATTTTTCACTGTATTGTTTTTTCATAATGGAGTTGAGTAATTGTGTCGAGCGTAAATAAAACCAGGCCTAAATAGCTAAATTTCTATTTTATTAAANCAAAAACAACAGATTTTTACATGTATTTTTATTTAATCAAATACATTAAAACCAATAACAACTGAGACTTACCTTTAATATATATGCTGGTTCAAATACTAAATAACGTTTATAAATCATAGTCGTCTTCTATTATTATCAAATAAATAAAAGAGAGCAAAGTTTCTAGCACTAAAATAATTACCACCACAGGAAGTTAATTTGAAACGCGATTTTTTATAAGTTAGCAGCTATTATCATGCATATTCAGAGTTGTTTTGTGAACTTTCAACATTCTACTATTAAACTACAAAAAAATTGAAGATTTTGCAACGAATATAAAACTTATATTGAGCGTCGAAAGATTTTCCCGGTTTTTTCCCGATTCGCCTTTCAATCCCTAATCGCCCCATTTTACCGGTACTCTATGTTATGAATTCAGTACTTTTTTTTTTTTACTTCAGCTAGGTAGTCTTAGGTGGCTATGCCAGCGTAACCGAACGAGTAGATGAGCTCACAGGGCTCTAAACTGAGGAATTCAGTGCGTCATTTGATATTATGTATGTGTCACGGAAATATTCATATACATGTGAGCGCCGTCGCGGTCGTCGCATCTCGAGTGTGACGACCGGTCTTTTGATCCGAAACTCAAACGTAAATGCGTGTCCATGTCGGAGTCCAGGGTTTCTCGGGAAGCTGAAGTCTCTCGTTCCACTATAGTCGCCATGTGGCCCCTGAAAGCGATCGGTCGATATGTTAGAAATTTAAATATTTTAAAGCAACACTTATTTTATTTTAGGACTAGTGAAACCCAGTTTTGTTTGGAGAAACATTATTGATGTCTTACGATTAAGCAATTCTCGGAACCAGAAACATGATGATATGAACATCGCCACCTAAGCCTATTATGAAACATACGGTCGATTTCACGTGTTTGATTCTTTATTATAGAATTTAATTCTTATAGAAGTAGATTGTGAACAAATTTTCGTTGCGGAATAATCGGACAAAAGAAAGCTTTATAGCTTCGACTAGACCTTGCGTTTGTTGCCATTTTGCTACGTAATCTTCTCAGCTGCATTAAAGGAAACCTTACCTTAAACCATCGGTTTTTGGGTGACCGAATGTGGTGAATTGTGGACATCCATTGAGCGGTCGCGGTGGTGGTGGGATCAGGTAGTCATCCATTCTGTTCTCGCTGTCGCAAGCTGAATGCATAGTGAGCGTACTCGATGAAATCTAAAAAAAAAACATTACTTAAGGAAACATTTCCCTGTAACCTCCCACCTCTCCCGGGCTCAGTTTCAGACGTTTGGGCGAGAATGCAAGGGAGTCTTTTATTAATAGGCTACATCATATACCTTGGGACCTTATAGCAGATAAAATAAAAATACATATTTACATTTTAATTTCTAGAAAACTAATTCAGTTTCACGTGGGAAATGATTGATGGCTCTCAATAACGTTCCCGCCACACCCTTGGCCCCTGTTAATGTATTGACAATGTACTCAGATAGCACCGCCAAGGTGAAACCAAGAAAATATATCTGACCTAAATTCTTTTAGCTACGCTGAAACAATCGATAAAACTCACGATCGATCTGGCTTTGTCGTCCATTTCAGATTGGACGCTGTTCGTTTCGGCGGCACTGCCCCCGCTAACTGTGCTCAGACGGCCCGATGAAGAAGAACCTAGAAACACGTTCGCTTATAAGCAATTGCGTTTTTATTATAACTAAGTGTCTGATGATTTTTCGATTTCAGTTCACTTACTGTCGCTCAAGCTACTGTTCGGCCTCGTATTGCCATTTCGTTTTTCAATAGTACCGGTGTTGCTCTCGTGATCTGCAAATAAACAATAAGTCTGAGGTTTCGTGGTCTAAAGGATGAGACGTCCGATGTACTCGTTTTAATGCGACTATGAATCGAACCCGCAGGCCGGTACCAATTTACCCAATAAAATACGCACTTGACTCCCACGATGACTTTCACTATGAAAGGATAGCATTGTGTAATCAAAATCAAATTCGCAGATATCTTTTTTTCGTAATTATGTACAGTGTAGATATAGTCGAGGCTCAAGGTGGGTGGAAACTTTCAAGCTGCGGTGTTTATGGGCTCCGGTAACTACTTAGCTCAGGATGGGCCGTGAGCTCTTTCAACCATCTGGTCAGTAAATTAAAAAAGTGGTATGTTTTCTCTACCCATTCGCTGGTAGCCTAAGGGGCTATTCCCGCTACACCGGGACGGGTAGGTGAGCTCACGGGCTCAACCTAAGAGAAATTGCTAACACTAGTCCTAGCAAGAGCAGTGTTTCGCAGAATCAACCACCGGATCGGAATCGCGACCCACTGAGAAGATCCGGGGAGAAACTCAGTGGGCTGTGTCTACTGTCTATGGGTTAGATCGCGCGTCGAACTCTTCAAGAGTTCGACGAGGAAGACGACCGGTGCTTGAGGGTCATAAAAGCACCTTAAATGAATCCGGTGGATCTGACTAGATATGTTTCGGGCGACGATGGCTTTGCGTTACCCCGTCGCTGTGCGATACGTAAATGAATTTCTTTCTACTGAATCTCTACGTGTATGTGTATTTTCATTAATTACTTTACTAGTACCGCGGCGGATATATTTGAGTTTGACTTACGTTTGTTCTTGTTTTTGGAGAACATTTTCTTGACTCTTTCAAAAGGCGTCGGTCTTTTCATGTTTTCTTTAATCCTGTGTTGAATTTTATCATATTCTTCCCGCATCTTGTTCAACTGTTCCTGTTTTTCTTTCAGCGATTGTTGAGTTTCGTTTCTGTTTTTCCATTCCATCACCAGTTTTTCTACTTCGGATATGGTAAAAACGTTGTTTTTGAAGTCATTTATTATTTCCGCTAATTCCTCTTGGCCGGTCAAAGGGCTGTTTTCTTTACTTGTTTTAATACTACCACTGCTCCTTATATCTTTGGTACTTAAATTTATCTGACTAATATCACTAGTTGGCGTTTCAATGTTGAATGATTTGGATTCTTCCGTGGGTGAGTACAAGAACACTTCTGGTTGTTGCGGCATGAGACGGGAACTATTCATATATAAGTTATTTGGTCTAAATTTCGGGCTTTCTACTTTGATGTTTGATGGCTGGAAGAGGTAATCGTTTTCAATAGCTTGTTGGATCCTGTCCGCTGTGTCGTCGTGACACGGCAATTCGTTTTGGTACAGTTGTTGTTCTTTGACTTTTGGAAGTTTGAACGACGCACTAGATTGCTTTTCGGATTCATCGGAGTTATCAGAAATTTCTTCTAAATTTTGCGTGCACGTTTCGCTGAAGGGATCCGGGGGAGACACTATGACATCTTGTTCAAGATCTTCGCAGATAGGCGAGTCCACAGTATCACATGTCTCAATAATTCGAAGGTCCTCTTCTTTTGATTCTAATTCTTCTGTTTTATCTTGTTTTTCGTTGTCGGACATATTTTTAAGATAATAGTACATGTTGGAGAATTCGCTTATTTTCTGAAAAGAAACAAATAATTCACTTGTATAATGTTTATTAATATAAACTATATATATTCTGATTGTAACAATACAGAAAAAAATAATTATTTTTTAAATTATAACAATAAAAATCAAATTACTCAGAGAATCAAAAGAGGATAAACTAAAAGGGACACCAAAAGAAGAAGCACAAAAAGAAATCTCTTACGCACGTTGCAATGCGCCGATAAGGATAAGAAGAAGAATGTATTATTTAGGGTTTGGATTAACGTTGTTCTAAGTTATTTACCATGTGATCCGAGAGCATATCAGCGAGGCGATAGTGTTTGAAGTCACGAGCTAAGTCGGCGGGAGTGCGATGTCGGACGTTCCGCATCGCGATGGCGGCTCCTCCCCCGGGACATTCTAGCAGCTGCCAGCAAACACGCTCCAGCCCGAAACGAGCCGCCCAATGCAGCAGAGTAGGATATTCCTCACCACCTTTATGTGATATTTTTTTTGTAAATATATGTATTATACCATATTGATATTAATTGAAGTAATTATTTTTTTCTCTATCTAAGCTGATAGCCTTGAGAGGCTATTTCAGCGTAACCTTAACTAGTAGGTGAGCTCACGGGGCTCAAACCGGAGTGATGCTAACACTGACCCTAGCGAGAGCAGTGCTTCGTAGAATCTACCACCGGATCGGAAACGCGACCCATTGAGAAGATCCGACGAGAAACTCAGTGGGCTGTGTCTATGGGTTAGTTCGCTCGTCGAGCCCTTCGTCGCAAGCGACGGGTTCGACGAGGACGGTGACCGGTGCTTGTGGTACGTAAAAGCACCGTTAATGGATCGGGAGGAATTGAAGTAAGTAGAAATATATTTCTTATGTAATTAACGCGTTATGCGCTTTACGACCGACCAATGGGCCTACCGTACTATAGTATTCGAGCCAAGCCAAAAGCAGGGACTCAGTAATATGAACTTGAGATTTTCATTCTAAATTTTATAAAATGCGATATTTTGCATGGAAGATAAAAAATAGCGACTTTACTGTTTAGTTTAGATATTTTAAAAAGCTCACGGGTGAGCACCGTGTCCTGAAGGAAAATACTCGATTTTTTATATGGCGTTCAACGTGTTAAAACTGTTTGTACGGCCTTAATTACGCTTTTTGTGGTCATACTAGTACCGACGTTTTGAATAGTTATCATGATTACGTGATTACGAAAGAACGTGCGATTAAAACGTAAAAGTAATTTTAATTATGACTACAACTCGTTAAAACTGGAAAAAAAACCACTATGTTTAATATGCTCAAAGTAAATGAAATTGAACTCACTGGAGACGTCTGCTTTTGGATTGAATTGGTCCGTCGATGAGAGAAGGTTGAAATGTGGTGGAATATTCTTTTGGAAAGCGTTGAGCATCCAGCTATCCAGTTGTTCCTTGCTCGTTGTTTTGAATCCTAACGTCTATAAAATAAATAACAATAATGTTATTTTCTTATTTGATGGAAACGTTATTTTGAATTTAACGTTCATTTGAAGAAACAGAAAATTTTGTTTTTCATTTATTAATTAAAAGACCAGGTGTTAAAATCATCGTTTTTATTTTACTTAAATATTTTACCTGGCACATGAATTCTAAGGGATGATCGGAGGCCCGTAGCAACTGATCTAGCTCCCGCAAACGACTCTCGCATTTGATCTGACGTCGTCCCAGGGACTGGCCGTTTTTACTAACTCGAACCCACACCAACATGGAGACTTCCAAACATGATTCTAATTAAACAAACAAAAATTCAATTAATTCACTTATTAACATTATTTTATCGGTACGAGTAATGTGAATTATAGCACTAAATTACGAACGGAAAAAATTCAAGATATTGCTTGCAATATTTTTTTACCTGGAATATCAAACTGCAAAGTATACGGGTTTCTTTTCTTGAAGGTCGGTATTTGTATGACCTCTCCTTTCTTATCGACCATTATCTTGATGCTGTCTTCTTCTCGAATAGGATCGTTAAGGAGCGCTATCACGCGACTCTGTCCCTGTGAACGAAGATAAATGACTTTTCGAGATGGATTCGGTACGCCTTTTACTTTGAAGAGACATTTTAGGAACTTTTTAGATTTACGTTGAAAGTTCACGAGTTCGACACGGATTACTGAAATATAATTATAAGTAAGATTCAAGATGCTAATTTTAACATTAGAAAAGTATAATATATTTCTTTGAGCTTATTGTGACTTTCACACATTTCTTAATATCATTTAGGTATCAAATTTTGCCAAGCCACATGACCTTCGATCTAAACGCAAAACTTCCATACAAAAAAAAACTATATTCTATTTCTGCTCTGACAGTTATTTACATTCGCTTTCTGCAAGTTAGACACTTACTATTTTGACTTTTTTTGGTACAATGGAGAAGCTTGTTCTATCTGTAGCTGTATCTTTGCAGTCTTTAGTTCGTAAAATTCCAACGGCCGCCGTCAGAAAGGTGTCAACAAATGACGTGTCTTTCTCGCGTACCGACATCATATGCCATTGGTCTATTGTTGGATATTCTGAAATAGGAAATTGTTTCAACTATATTGTTTTAAATTCGTGTATTCAATGACTTTTTTATTTTTATTGTTGATTGTTTTTTGTAAGTTTTTATATGCAGCTTTTTCTTTTTTTTGTTTTCTTTGTCTTAGTTTTAATGTTAGTTAACGATATTTCTATTTTAAGCATAAACGCTCTAAAGCAAGATATGTTCACACCCAATAGGGTGAATTCTATCAAGTATTATTTTATGTAAATAAGTTCAATGTTTATGTGTGCAGATTTTATCCAGTTGTGTGAACCTAATAGGCACGCGTATGTAGTGGCTAATGTACCTAATCAGATATTAAAAACTTTACGATTCTCACCTTCACAATTTTCAGCTATAATATGACCTTTTTCAACTCCGAGGAGCATGACTAAAATTTTATCAGTTTTAAAGACATTTTCGGCGTTCAGATCTTTTTTCAAATCAGTCATTTTGGTTGCTAAATTCGGACACAGGATTACGATTTGCAGTTGCGCTTTTGACAGTTTATCGACTTTCTCCTGCGAATCGGAAGACAACAGTTCCTCTGCAGTCACTGGTGTCACCCTGTTAAAAAAATAATTAATAAAAAACACAATTAATACAATACAATTCCGGTTTTTGAATGATTTTGCATTGCGATTTTGAATCTAAAAATGACATATTAAAGATTATTATTATTATTCACCTATAATGGTGTCTGGCTCTTTGTGACATAATTTTGTCGAAGCTGGCAACCAAGTAATCTGACCAAAGAGCGCTCTCCGGAGACCCCGAGCTCCAAAGTATCGCTATATCTTCCATTTCTGTAACAACAACGAAATTATATTCTTATGATGCTTTGTGTCTAAATTCGTGTAAAGTAACGTAAGTATGAAACTAAATATCGCCAAGTATCAGACCGATACATATAGGACCTCAATAGTGGGATAACTTTATAGTACATACCTAATATCCAAATAATCTTTATACTTTATACCTTTATATTTTATCGGCTTATTGTTCAGAAGTGAATCAGTGCCGTTGAACGTAACACAAAAAACGTTACAAATCATATAATTCATCAAATCACGAATTATTTTCTAGTAAAATAAAAATATTTTTACACTGATTATATCAACTTTAATAAATATGTATTTGAAACTACACTGATATCATATAGCATTCTAAAGCGAAACAGTCTTCGCATTAAATAAATCGGGTAAAATTCCATGGAAGAAGCAATTCTGTTAAATTCATGCTTTCACACAAACAATGGAATTCCTAATTAATTAAAAGAAGTGCTCGGTTTGCACCGACCACCACAATTTGATCACATAGTGCACGGTGCTCTTAAATGTCAAACGGAAGCCACGAGTGGACACACGTTAATTGAGTCAGGAAATTCAATTAACTCTTCGTCGCTCGCTTCGGAAATTCCCATTTTGCTAACGAACACAAGAGAACAATTTAATTGATGCCTCAGTGAGCTTTTAACATTGTTGTCAAGCGTTGTCATGATTATTGTTCCATATGAATAACTCAGTTAAAAATATATATAAGAAAAAAAGGAAACCAAATTAAGTAGAATATTATTCATTACCCCAGTTATCAATTAGCGAAATAAGTAGAAAAGAGAACACAGTTGAATTATTATGCAAATTTAAACGTTAAATATACTTCTAATATTCTATAACATCTATCTATATGTATAAAAATGAATTGCTGTTCGTTAGTCTCGCTAAAACTCGAGAACGGCTGGACAGATTTGGCTAATTTTGGTCTTAAATTATTTGTGGAAGTCTAAAAGGGAAAATGCTCGGAATTAAATAAAAATAACAATTTTATTTTCACTTTGTTGTGTCCCCCGTCGGACGGATTCCTTTTGTTTGTTTTAAGTTTATTTTATACAAAAGTTTAGGTATTTTATTTATCGATTGAAGCACTAGAAAGTCTGTTGGGTCAGCTAGTTATTATAAAAATATTTCTTATAGACTATTTGATTTTATCCGACCTGATACTCTTTCGAACGGGGGTGTCGTGGCAAGTTATTTATACCTTTAACGTGTACTGTTTGATTGTTTGAATATCTAGTAATAGAAATCATTAAAACATTATTTTGTTAAAATTTTCTACGCTTCTTGCTTAAAGTTTATCTTAAAGTATGCAATATTTCTTCTGTTACGTTAATTGTATCGTTCTACATTTGAATACTGAAATTGTTTGTAATCGTCGATCTCAAAGGCGGTCGGTCAGAGCGATCAAATTTAATACCTTCGACTGAGAGGAAGTGTTGTCAAGGGATAATCAAGACATGAAAGATGTCGTTCACTTGATATCGAACGAGGGTCATTGCCTGGATCGAAGTTCACGAAGGCCCGTCGTAAAGCTTTGTACGCATGCCGCTCGATTTATTTATGTAAACACCGTGTGCATACAGCTGTTAATATTAACGATAAAAATCTAATCTAACACGTGCTTTATAAATGAAAAACCATTAAAGAATATATATGTATATCGGTGGAGCGTTAACCGTACTGGCATGCTCGTTCTATTTACGCTGTGGTAACTAAATGGGTAGGTACTTGAAATCAATTAACTTTGACCAATGATTAATTACTGCAGTACACTCAAAGACTAACGCTATACGTATTTTGATTACGCAGTCATTTCAAGTGCTTATTTTTTTAATTCTAAACTTAGGCATTAAATTATACAGCCGTATTCTGAAAGGAATACTGTCAGCATAAATAATAACGACAAAAACAACATGCTAATAAAAGTAAAACGTTGTTCCAGAGACATACTTATTTCTTTTCTATTATATGCACGAATGAAAACATACGACGGCTGTTAAAATTTTTATAGCAACAGTGCCGTGCATACGCAACGGCTGCTTACAAAATATGCTATGCACCGCGCGCTCGCCGGAAACTCATACGGTTTATACTTACCCACCTCTGCCGCCAAATGAAGGCCCGACTAAATGTAATATCCGTTTCCTAAATAGACAAACGTCTATCAGCGTCGCCCGGAATAACTTAGCCGATTATATGCAGCGCCCAATACGAGGGATGAATATGACACTACAATTACATGTGGTTACTGATGCGTGTATACAATCCATTAGGGCAGTTATTTCAGAAAAAAAAAATTTTTTTCGCTGTCCTTTCTTTGGTAATTACTGTAACATACACATCCGCTTAAACTATGTACATTTAATAATACGTACATAAATATAAGCACAAAATAATTAGTGTATTAGTATTCTAGTATCGATCCGAACTGCGGTAGACCCTCAACACATTTACCTATTTAAAAGACATCAATTTTATTTTATTCCGTGACCAGGGAAATAAAACCATATAAAAGGGTATTTAAAGTAAATTACCTGTTTTGCATTAAGTAAGATAACGTCCATACATTTTAATTCTCTGTCCTCTTTGATCGGCCCCCAGTGTACACAGGCACGTACAGAAACATTCTTTATTTTTGGAATGGATGGTCTTTGTAACAAAGGGCGGAAACTGCATCCGAATTTTTTCAAGAGCTGCATTTTAAGGAATTTATTTCGAAGTTTAAATGTAAAGAAATCCGTTGGGTTTAGTAAAATCACTATTTCTTCGTAACAAAAAAAATTTAAATCTAGACAGACTTGCCAGTGCATATGTGTAACTTTTTCTTTCGACCGATGTACGATTTTATGCTCCACCGGGTGTAGGTGGTTGTGGGAGCCCATGGACATCACGATCTGGCTGCCGGAGCTATCTTGAGGTATGAGATTGAAGTGTGATAACCATTGCCCAAATCAGTCCTAGGTTTTCAAATCGAAACGCATGACTGTTACGTGACAGAAATAGGGGAAAATGGCGGGTACGGGCTCATACTACTCCTCGGGACTAATCGGGATTCCAAATACCTATATATTTTTACATAGCTGAAGAAATTTCTGTTGCCTCAGTAAAAAACCAGGCAAATTTAAAATTACGAAACATCAATATACCATTATTTCAAAATATGAATTACGTCTCCAAGTTTTTTTGGTTTCATTAACGTTTCAAATGTATTTTATTATAATAGGTATTTCTACATGCACGTGTTAATTCAATTCTCGTATAAATTATATAAACTATATTATATATTATAAACTATATAAATTATATTATAAATTATATAAACTCTGACTAGTTTTTAAATAATGCAAAATGATGCATTGTGCTTATCTGTATCATTCGTGCTCACTGACCGCTTTCAGTTGAACGGCCTCCGTCTTTGATGTTCTGAATGATACTAAATCATCATGTTACATAGTAGACGATGTAGTTTTTACCTTATACAAAATATTTAACGATTTTAAATATTCGTAGGTATAATCCCGCGTTTATTACTTTTTATTCTAATATTCCCTCCTGTTGATATAGAAACGTAATTATTTTTTTTAATTATTAGCCGCCTTACTGAAATATTTTTTTATGAATAACTAGCGACCCGCCCTCGCTTCGCTTCGGAAACTGTAATTTATTATTGATTTCTCCACTGTTTAATGGATGTTATTATACATATAAACCTTCCTCTTCAATCACTCTATCTATTAAAAAAAACGCATCAAAATCCGTTGCGTAGCTTTAAATGAAGAGATTGTGTAACCTCTTCGAACTTCCACCACAGACCACTAAAACTGTAAAGTAATTTAAGAAAACCTTGGAAGTAAAGTAATGAAAATTAAAAAACACGAGATTAAGCCGCAAAAGTTTTAATAATTATGTCTACGAAACGCGAAAACTGAAGAAAATACTAAAAATAGTGTTTCAAAATAACACCACATTTGTCTAGACGGGCTTAAGAGCTCACTCCCACTTGCACTAAGTGGACATCTGAATACTACTACTACTACATTACGCACGCATAATTATTTTTTGATAGCCTTTTATATTAGTCATGTATAACAAAGTCAAGAAAAAATGCTAATCATAATTTTTCAAAGGTATAAAAAAAAGCTTTTCAAGTTAATTGAAAGGTTTTTCAAATTATTGCTATTAAACGGAAACATCAATAAGATTATATTTCGATTCGGGCGAAATGAGAACATTTCTCAAAAACATATAAAGCAAATGATTCCCTGAATTAATAGGGAACGCGGCATGTTTGAGTTTTCGTGTAAACACGATAAATTGAACGAAGGAAATTACTGAAAAGTTTTCGGATTTACCAATTATATTTAGTTAAGTTTTCCTTCTGAGAAACTTCGCATAGACGCTCTCTTTACTTCCAATAATTAAACCAATAAATTACATAGAATTATACGGAAAACAGAGAGGTTCCATGAAGTTTCTCTTATTACACAACCAATGGATCAAAACGTGGATAGTGAAACGTTTACTAATATAAATATAAATCTCATTCTAACCTTTTGAGTACACACTAAATGAGCACAAGATAAAGCCGATAACTACTTAGATTAACAGATTATATAGAGAGACTATTAGCATTTAGACTGATATTCGTTAATGAAGCTCATTTAATTCGTTAATTTATTCTTTTTTTGTACATACTCTTATACTAATTTCTTATTATTGATGTACATATTGTGGCAAATTAGACCAAAGCCCACTTAGGGTTATGTGGTAGCCGAGACGTTACAACTGTCGTAACAATAGCTATTTTGCTTACAAAATATTATAGAATCATTATTTAACTTTATTTATTTATTTTAATATTACAATAAGATCTGCGGGTCGAGCGGACGGACAGTCGTTGAAAGTTTTAAGACGACAACAACACTTTTTTTTGCCTATCTATGCTGATAGCCTTGAAAGGCTTATATCGGCTTCGCCCTAACGTGTAGGTGAGCTCACGGGGCTCAAACCGAAGTGTTGCTAACACTGGCCCTAGCGAGAGCAGTGCTTCGTAGAATCTACCACCGGATTGGCTACTCAACCCACTGAGAAGATCCGGCGAGAAACTCAGTGGGCAGTGTCTATGGGTTAATTCGCTCGTGAACCCTTCGTCGCAAGCGACGGGTTCGACGATGACGGTGACCGGTTCTTGTGGTACCTAAAAGTACCGTTAATGTATCTGAAGGATCCTTAATGACGTGTTTTGGGCACAACAACACGACAGCTGCTATCAAGTACAGCGCAATTCCCATTTTTTCTTCGACTTAATCAATCAAAACTGTAACGACTTTTCAAGTTTTTAATATATCCAATAATGCCAATTATATAATTTCATTCAAAATCGCAAACAAATCGCAATGAAAACACTTCAAACATGGCTAATGCTTAGTAAAATCTGGCGTCTCCCAGACCGGGGTGATTCATTGTGATTCAAAACCTTTTTCTCGGTCGTGTGTCGGCTTGAAGGAGGTAAATCATACATTTCTGTCTAATTATATCGTAATTGTGTTCATTTTTAAATATTTGAGTCATACTGTTTTACCCATTGATTCGGTTTCACAAAATAGGGTACACAAGAGAAATATCCGCAGAACGTTAGAAGGAGCATACTATTTGTAACATTTAAGCACTGTTTTTTTTAAGCGCTGGCTTTCACATAATGTATTTTATAACTATAGCGTAATTTCAAGCGATATCATAAGTATGAGAGCCTCAAAACACAGCCCTATTTAATCAAAGAGTAAATCATTGTCGTAGAGTGAGATGTTAACAAAGGTTTCATGACGAGTTTATCAATACAATATTTGCCTTGAATGCGGTCACACGCGATAACAAGTCGATGTCCCTTGTCTCAAGTCTGAGGACATTGTATTTATTATCTGTTTTAATCACTAACAACAGTGATGAAAACTTTTCCTTCAATAACATACATTCTATTTCTCGTAACGAAAAAAAGAAAGAACTAAACAAGAAATGCTTATAAAATGTGTTGGTTTTTTTCTCAATGTATAGAATGTTTTAATCAATATATTTTGTCAAGTTTAAATAATACTTTAAATTTCTTAATGAAGTCTATTTAAATTCGATTTATGAGTATGACTATTTAAAATCCGAAAAAATATGTAATTACTAAATAATTAAAGATTTTTTTTTAAATAATTGTATATTTACAAACTTGTAGATAACAATTCATTTATACACTGTAAATAATTGAAATTTTACATTATTGTAAAAATCGTGGGAGCGTTTGTGCAAAGAATAAAGAACTTAACATATACAGGATGATCAAACATTAGCATTTTCAAAACGAATACATTACGGGGTCCGCTTCGATGCATGTAAATTACAATATGTTTATTCAGCCATAGTTGACGCCATGCATAGGTAATGTGCACGGTTATACCAGCATGGAAACAAACATATCCATAGAGTAAGCATCTAACTTCAAGGGCGTAAAGCTCAATTTCTATTGACGGCTATTTTAACAACGGTAAACCTAATTTGGTGTTGACATACGGTGTTCCTCTGACATTGATTTTGGCTTGGGCCCTGACATTTTGGAATAACAAATCGTGACGTCAAAGGGTCGGGTAGGTAATGAAGGTTATTAAAGACGTCAATAAGAAGTGCATTATGCGAATAAGGTACACAAAACATTTTATATTAGAATTTAATATTAATTTAATTTGCACGGTTCCAAAATAAAAGTAATTTTAATTATATATTTATGGTAATTATAAATATATTAAGTAAAAAATATTATATGGTTATTTTACTAAGATTAGCTAGAAGATTTTAGAAAAATTAGCTTGGACGCACCAATGAAAATAACAACTTCTAAATATGTATCTACAAATACCAAAAACATTTATTGAATAACATAATAGTTTTGAAATATATAGAAAAAATATGTTTGGTTTGGTTTGTTTAAATGATATACGAAAATAATATACCCGACTTTTACTGTATAAAACAAATAGCAAAAAAACTAAACAACAACGACTTAATCGTATCGTGAACAAATTTTGAATAATTTAGAAGAAGAAAAAAAAACAAAGACTTACTTTTATCGACCATTGTCTCACAGATCTTTTCCTCCATGACAATATACAAAGTAACGGAGAAGGAAGTCGTTGTTCAACACGTTTTCAAGCTAAGCGCCTGTCATTGCACTGACTGAACTGCAGGCGAATACTAGAAAGCGCACGAATTAAAACAAGAGCCCTCAGAAGTGTGACAGGGAGAAGTGTCGGTTTGCGATGATGTGCAGCGCGACGATAGCCGACGCGCCGGGCGACTGCGCGATGGCGTCACGCGGCGGCGCACACGCACGCGCTACGCATACTAAAACCCCCACGACAATCATAATCGCAACTATGTAGCTCGCAATGACCATCCCTTGGCCAAATATTATTAAAAAAAAAGGGCCCGTGTCAATATTCCCGAAACGTTATCGACGGCCAAACATTATTGATGGATAAAAACCTTCGATCAACAAATAAAAAATAATATCGTATTTGTCATGTGCTTCGCTAATATCCAAATAATCGTTACGGTCCATGAATAGTAAATTCAACTTTTGGTTTTGTACACAATAAACAACTGGCAACCGTTTACTATACATCATTATGGGCCATAAACATATTTGTTCATTTGGATATGGAAAAAAAAATTTGGAGCGAAAGAAAATGATTTTTTTTTTACCAGCCAGTGCCGTGATATCTTAATAGATCCATTATTCGAGATAACAAGGGTGTGTTAGGTAATTAATCGAGTAATAATCAAAGGAGCCGCTCATTTAATAGGCTTTACGCTCTGTAAGCAAGAGTTTGAACTATGCATGTATGTACCTACATGTTTATCAGTTAATGTCTAAGGGCAGCTCGGGTGCATCGTTCCCTATTTATCTGTTCCCGTCGCGATTGACTTGTTTACGATCATTTATCACTCATTTATTATCATAGCTTCGTTTCTACGTAAACAATTAATGTTACTTATTAATAGGTTAAATTGCAAAGATTTCCTTTAGTATGAACTCTATATATTATTATTCACAAGACATTTCTCCATAAAACGTATGTGATTTCCTATCTGCTTGGTTTTCGTTAACAGTTTTTTTGTTGTTTCACCCAAGCAAACAAATCGGGGTGTTTCGATTTATTTATGTCACTTTTTATGGTCTAAATTTCATCCAAAGTTTCCTTCACACGTCCTATATCGTTCCGATTATGTTTTTAAGTGTCGAAGAATAGATAAGCTTCATTTATTTATTTATAAACAATCGCTTATCTCGTCGTTGTAACATAATAATAAGCTAATGGCATTTGAGAAACCTTTTCGTTGCTTATAGGCAAATTATAATTAGATTAGATATTGTTTACGTTTTGATCTAATGGCGTCCGTTGTGTTCTTTTTTGATTTTTCAAAAATAAAAGTTGGAGGAGGATTCCTAAGTCAAGGTGAAAACAGTGCCAAACCTCTGACACTTTTGAAGAAGTTTTCAAGAAGATAGTTTCCCAAGTGGTTCACTTAATTGATAGAGTTTCAAAGAGGTTTTTGAATGTTAAAACTACGGAAATCTAAAAATGATTGATTAAATCTGACGTGACTTACCTTTGAATGAAAAGTTTCTCGGCCTCCTTCTTCTAACAGAATCGTCGTCTTTCTGATTAAAACGCGGCGGCGGCATCCGTGGCACTTCACTAGGAACAGAAGTCACTTCTCCTGTACCAGCCGCGTCGGTGGCTAGGTAGCCCCCTACGGAATGTCTTCTTTTCCCTTGTAAAGGAATTGTGTAAAACACTTCTTCGCGTTCGTGCATTCCTTCATGTGTAGCAACTGACGTGCTTATCTTACCCTTTCTGTAATAAATGAAAGAAAAAAAAACGTAAACTATAATAAATAATCTAATGAACTTCCATTTTAGTTCTTTTTAACCTATACTGTCATGGGAATAAACAATCATTAATACAGGGGTACCTATTATGCAAAAGTGGATCCGCGTACTCAGTTTTAGAGCAATATATGCAGTTTACAAACTTAAACATTCGAACTTCGTACTCATTAAAATAAGAAAAAACGAGATCTCTGGACCGGGATGGCAATAGTCGTCCACTAGAGTAAAACATAATGAACGATGTAGCGATATCAAGAACTTAATAAAAAAGGGTGCGTGTACTTATTTATGTACGCGCGTAAGAAGTTATACTTTATTTTTATTAAATTTATTTCTTTTTTTTTAAATATTAAATAATTAATAATAAATATTTAACGTTAATAATTTAATAATATTTAGTATGAATTATATTTAATAATAATTTTGTCATTTATATTACTAAAAAAAATATGCTAATAACACTTTTTTTTACGAGTGTACATGCGCGAAAGTTCACCTGCGGCTATATTCAGATTCGCCAAGTTACGTCGGTCGTATTTAATGAGCGATTTAGTGGGCAACTTCATTTCTGTTAATTTTGTGTCACGGTGCGCGCGCATCGTAAAATTTCACTCTCATAAATTTTTCATAACGCGCCTAAAGAAGTATAACTTCAAAAAGGCATGGCAAAAATCTGTACCAATTTCTTGTCATGATATTTAATTTCTGAACAACAATATTTGTACCAGCACGCGGCATCGCGGCTTTGTTCTAACAAGCAATGACATCCGCTCGGTAGGTAATCGAAAGATTAAGACGCCCAGTGTATCAAGCGATGCGAGTATGTATGTATATCGGTATTGAAATCCTCCAGGCAGGTACTGTTTCTTAGTGCGTACTTACGCAATTGACATGTCCACGCAAGATTTCCACGATTTAGGAATAGTCTCGTCTAATAAAATCCAATACATATTATTATTTCAAAATTTACATGATTACTTGTGGCGGGGGCGTATTGTAGGACAGCGTGTGTAGGTAACCACAATCCTGGCTAATTCTGCCGCGATCCCATGTCGCAAACTGGCTAGTTCCGGTGAATACCAGGTAGATAGTACACGATAGTAGATAGTCCTTACACGACGGTGATCACTCACTATCAGATGAGCATACGGTCATCTACATACAGTGCGAATGAAAAAAAACCGAGATGAACCGGGAGCTAGTTCACCGACCTTTGCAATGAAAATAAAAATAACAACTTGTACCTTTAGATCTGCATTCTCTTTGAAATAAATTTACTGACCTATATTTTGAGATTTGTCAGTTGCTTTTAAATAATTTTGGGGATTTCAGCTACGTTAATAAAAAACCCTCGAAAATAGTGCCACTTCAGGCGCACCATCAACTAATATGATATGGGATTTAAAACTTAATTTCAGAGACATCGGATTCGATATTCAAATTTCTAGAGATGACCGTCTTCGATAGTAGTAAAGCATCAATAACATCATCACTAGATGATCACTACATAGTATAAAACAAAGTCGCTTTCTCTGTCCCTATATCTGTCTGTCCCTATGTATGCTTAAATCTTTAAAACTACGCAACGGATTTTGATGCGGTTTTTTTTAATAGATAGTGTGATTCAAGAGGAAGGTTTATATGTATAATATCATCCATTAAACAGTGGAGAAATACTGTTATTTTTGAGGTTTCTAATGTGATGTCGTAAATAACCAATAATAAAATTTCATGTTTCCGAAGCGAAGCGAGGGCGGGTCGCTAGTAGATTATAAACAAACTCACTTCATTCTCGGCGCAGTAAACGTGTGTCTCATATCACCAGGGGCACAGTCTCCTGGTCGCGGTTGGCCTTTTAAGAAAGCTTCTGCTTGTTCAGGCTCTCTTGCTGACAACGATCGCAGCAGTGCTCTGAATTCCTTACGTCTCGGACTCTCTGGTTCTCTGCGGCGCGGCGATCCCAATGGACGTGCGTTTTCTGGCCAAACCCGGCTTGGGGCCGACCTGGAGCACTGCTCCGACGACGATCCATGTGATTCGGCGCTGTCAGGAATGTCCTGATTCGGCAGCGCAAAGTATGAAGGGTTATCTGTAACAATCAATAAATAGTAAATGTTTCTTAGTTGTATACTTCGAATATGCAACGTCTTAATTATAACAATGTACCGATAGCCATAGTGTTTGTTTGATTCGTGTCGTAGAACTGGCCTGCGCGGTGTACGGTACCGTCGTGCTCCACGGGAATTATTCAATAACTGCTACAAGCGGCTCTCTGTTACGTCTGCGGGCCAGAGTACCGACCTATTTTACGAAGCCGGAAAGTGCGAATTGAAGGCAATCTTCTCCTATTGTCTACCCCACAGATATCTTTAGAGGAACGTTAAACACTTTAGAACGGTACTTCGCGTATGGTGATAAATATTGATATCTAGTCTGTAAATATTAATAATTATTGAATATAGGTTTAATATATTAATGAATTATTATTGAATACTAGCTGACCCGGCAGACTTCGTAATGCCTCAATCGATAAATAAAAGACCTAAGCTTTTGTATGAAATAAACTTAAAACAAACAAAAGGAATCCGTCCGACGAGGGACACATCAAAGGAAAAATAAAATTGCTATTTTTATTTAATTCCGAGCATTTTCATATTTATCTACCTTTTAAACCTTTTCTAAACTTCCACAAATAATTCAAGACCAAAATTAGCGAAATCGGTCCAGCCGTTCTCGAGTTTTAGCGAGACTAACGAACAGCAATTCATTTTTATATATATAGATAGATAGATAGATATTGATAATTATTGAATAGATTTGTATACGTACGTTGAATACATACGTAACTATTTTGTTAGAATATGTCTCTAACACAATCAATATTTTACATGAACACGTCAAACAGTTCAATAGAAATAATTCATGGTTTCTAAATTAAAGCGTGCTCTTTAATGAGTATAATTAATTATCTGAATAATGATTAAATATTCGAAAAAGTTACAAAAATGTAAGACCGAATACAAGAACAACTAATACACATACATAGAGGGTTTATTTATTTTTATTAACGGGAGCTCTGTTCTGGAAATTTATCTTCGTTATGAAAGAAATCTCTTAAGTGGATTTTTTGTGGTTCCAACTCCGAGCCCGCATGTGCGGAGTATTATATTCGGTTCATTTCAGGGGTTCGGCAGGATAATGGAGTCACCATGGGAACATATGGTAGAACATAAAAACAACTAAAGAACAACAATTGCCTGTCCACTTTATCACCACTATGGCGAATAACGATCTATTCTATTTATAAATACTTTACATTTGTAATTCTCTTCGTTGTACTTGTAATGATCTCTTTATTTGTATTATTAACGTCCATGACCGGAACCCACGTATATTAGAACGTAACGTCACTCAATGAGGCATGAGGTCGAAGATGTTTATAGCATTGGCATTATCCGGCGTATTTATAATTGGTAAATAGAGGACTGAGGATAATTTAAACTAGGCAAGATGTTCATAGCAACCCACGTGGGTTTAAAGGACGCCCGCTACGATTTATAGCGGCAACGATTACAATATTAGTTAAATATATCAAAGATTTGATAAAGATGCAGTTGGAAAATTGTGTAACTGAAACAGGCACATATAAGAGTTGATAGTTATTATTTGTACAGGTTTTGTTTAAACGATGCTAGTTTAAAAAAATAATTAAGAAAACAGAATAACTGCGTTCTCGATAAACATTGGTTTGATTAATGATTCAAGCATGATTCTTAGAATACGCGAAAATGATTCCGTTCAGCACGTTTTTAGAATTAGTAGGAATGACTAATTTTTTTTTTTTTGTATTCTTCGAGCTATTTTGCGCGCTTCGACTGATAGAGCAAGACTATTATTAAGCTTCTTTATACCGTAGTACTGAAAAGTGTTCCCATAAATATAACTTTACTGTAAATATGATTTTCATTTTATATAGTTAGTGCAATACTGAATTTTGTTTGTTATTATGATTATTTTGTAAATCTGTAATATGTTTATCGTAAAAAGGCTTTCTTTGTAACAAACATCGTCGTGTCCACAGATTAAATATTGTGTGCGTAGCCCGTCCTGAAAGTTTTGATCAAAGCTCCTTACCGAAACATTTCTTGTTTGCCAAACTAATGAGCCGTTGTTAATTACAAATTCGTTAAAAACAGAATTCAATCGAATTACAGAGGAAAACCAATATAATTTTTGTAATATGAAAGAAAATTACAAAAGTTTTGAACGCGAACGAAGCCCGTGACGGCGCGGCGGTTGTAGCTCGTGAACTTTTACAATCTGTTGACACAACAACATTAATATGTATTGGGAACTCACTGGTCGCACGCAGGCAGTATTCGAATTGGGGACCCATGGTGCAAGCACTCTATACGTTCACTAAACACAACACATCCCGTCGGAGGCGCGGCGGTGTCTGCGCTTGTGGCCTATCTCTGGCGGGACGCAAGCGCACCTGCGCGATCCGACGCTTTTAGGCGCACACGTGCGGCCCTTTCTCGAGGAAGCAGAGTTTTCTCAGCACGCGCCCGCAGGAAACACCCCGCTTCAGCTTCCAAATCCAAACGCGATGTCTACACAAATCTGTTTGGAAACGTCGGACACCGCTCGTTTGTACGTTTATTTTTCATTCGACTAGACGAGAGCAATCTGTTATGCTTCTGGTTATGCTACGAAAGCGTTCCATTAATTCGGGAGAGCTCTAAATATTCGTTTCCATCAAATTCAAACATTCGAACATTGCTTCAGAGTGGTTCTTAAATTGCGTTTTCATATCGAAGGGCCGCAATGTTTATATTCCGTATTTTTTTTAAGTAAACATGTGAGTTCAAAACAGCGTGCATGGAAAATTCCACAATAAAAACGAAAGTTGAAACCGAGCAGTCCAAATCGGGAACCCTAGTCTCAGGTTTAATTAAAGGTTTTACGACCAGGTCGGTAGCACCCGCTAGGCGTTTTTGTTTGTAAATTAACTCTGTACAATGTTGACGCTCATTCATAACAGCTCGGTCCGGTCCAGCGAGGGTACCCTGTGGAACACCATGCGACGGAGCGCGTTATAAATGAATGGCATCGTCTAAATATAGCTGTCTCTACTTCCTTCTACGCAGCTAATAGTAAACAGGAACAATCTTTGAAATTAATAAAGCCGAAAACTACTTTGTTTTTTAATTATTTCCATAATCTATTTTGATTACACGAAATCTTGTTGCGATACGCATATATTTACTAACGTGTGTTCGTTTGCATATAAATATGTTAGTTTATCCAGAATTAAAAGATGTATACGACAGAATAAAATGAAAAGATGCAATCTTTAAAAAAAACTATGCATTTACAAATCATCTTTACAATGTGATATTTAACTACATTGTATGATGAATTGAAGGGCATATTTTTTAACAATCAATTGCATTCATCCATAAAAATGTTTTTACAAGTTACTACAGTGTCAATCCCTCACTGCATCCACCCGAAATATGAGAACTTTGACGTAGGCTATTATTCTGAAATCGCGATATTTCAGTGCGACAAAAAGTCGAATGACATCGTGAGCTTCTTGATCATACAACTAGTTTTGTTGTCCAGTCCAATAAGACCAATTACCGAAATTAATTGTTAATTATAAGCAAAGAATTACACAATTAAATTTCATATAAACATTGATGAAATCAAGTTTTAAACATACATATAGCAACCGTACAATCCCGTGAGCTTAAAGATCTTAAAAGTACTTTGGTAATGTTGTAGCATTCGGGCATATACTCCAAAAAAAGAAGACTAACTTTTTCCAACGACAGGAATAGAAGCCGAAGCCATTTTGCTTAGCAGTAGCAGAGCAGATAGATTATAGCAGTTAGATTATCCTAATTTTAGGTACGTATTGAATGCATTTTTCTTATTAAATGGCGTTTATCTTAAATTCAAAAGGCGTTGATAAAATTAATGACTAATAAAGGAACTATTTGACGAGAAATTATAAAGATTAAACAAATATCATACAAGCACAAACGATTTCAATTTCATTTTATAATGTGTAAAATTTTGTCGACGGTTTCAAAAATTGCGTCTCTGTTTTGTTGAAACAAAAAAAATACACCAGATGTTGGAGAGACCGTGTTTACTTGCATCTGCTCCAAAACAAAGCTTACTTTACGATTTACACCATCAAACGTTTTAAAATACTGAACCCGCTGGCGGTCCTGTCGGTACAATTTCATTATCATGCCACTGTTATTACTAATGTTAAACAATGTTCACTTGAATTAAATTAAGAACATAAGATTTCTCTGATTAAAATTAACGAATCTATATATATAAAAATGAATTGCTATTCGTTAGTCTGGCCAAAAGTCGAGAACGGCTGGACCGATTTGATTAATTTTGTGGAAGTCCACGGAAGGTTTAAAAGGTAGATAAATATGAAAATGCTCGGAATGAAATAAAAATAATAATTCTGTTTTCCCTTTGATGTGTCCCCCGTCGGACGGATTCTTTTTGTTTGTTTTAAGTTTATTCTAGACAAAAGTTTAGGTCTTTTATTTATCGATTAAGGCACTACGAAGTCTGCCGGGTCAGCTAGTAATTAATAAAAATATCAATTCCATTGAATATATTTATTTTTATGAACGCTGGAAAAATTGTTCAGTATCCGAACTCATTTGGTTAGATTAAAGAAAATTCCCAAGTAACAAGTAACACAACAAATAAATTTCATTAGTCACCAGTATTAAAATAACTGGATCTGAGTTCAAAATCCGCAGCGCGTTCACGGAATGCGGTGCAGCGATTTATTTTCGCAAAGAGCACGATTAGCTCTCCTCGGTGTGTGATTAAAATCCTTCATTAGTCATACGAACTATCTCAAAGCACTAAATTTTGATTGAAATAGCAACATTTAGATTAAGACCAGCAGCTGTTACTTAGACCTAAAAATAGAATTACTTAATTGATATTCCATTTTAACTGGTCTTCATTAGAACATGAAACGTCCTTTTGACTGAGTTATTCTATATTACTAAAAATTGTTTTTTATTTAATTAATTATCT